ACTATTACTAGTATTGCCTTTAGGTTTTATAATAGGTAAACACAGTGATTACTTCCACTTCATTAGGCATCGTGGAAAGTTCGTGAGATTGAGAATCAAACAGACTGGTGACCAAATCTGAGATATGCCACTCACTAGCTTTCTGACCTTGAAGTTGCTGTTGAGTCTTTTTTAGCTTCAGCTTCCTTATCTGTAGCATGGGAATAATAGTTATCTTCTGTGGATTTTGCAAGGCTACATAGAAATTAATGTAAATGATGTGGAATAATGCCAGTAGCCAGCAAATGGTTGCTATTTTAATTATTACCCTTCTTGTCATCTTTTAAAGGGACAGATAATTTGGCATCCAAGCAGAAAGAGTTGTTTTTAATTAGAGATAATGAAATTTTGAAATTCTTTCATCTATAACAAATTTTTAAAAAAGGAAGATTGCCTGACTTTGTGTTGTGATGTGACTTTTACATGGGCAACTTGATGCAACCATAGTTAATCAAAACATAGACAAAACAGTGAGCGAAAGGTGGCTCACAGCCAAAATGATATAAATTATTAGAAGTACAGAGATCAGTGATAGAAGCAGGCCTGCTGACAACAGCAAGAAGTAACAGTTACTACAATGGCGGAAAAGCTATAAAAAGCAAATATAAAAAGGGAAAAAACACTAAGTAGTAAGGTTTCAAACACAGTTCTGTGACCATTGAGGCCATTACTTTATAGGCAACAGTGACCCCAAATCATCAAGAAAATGGTGAAATTGGATTCAGTGTTTTTGGCTTAAGGAAGAGAGTTGTGCAATATAGTTTAGAAAAGATTTTCTTCTATACATTTCTTCTTTAAAAAAATATTAAGACTTAAATAAACATTGATTTAATAGAAAATTTTGTAAATCAAACAACTAATTCCTTAAGGAGGCTGGGTAAATGAGTCTCCGCTATGCATGTTCAGGTCCTGCTTGAAAAGCAGGGAAGGGGGTGATGGGGAGAGGTGGTCATTGGGTACAGAGTTACAGTTAGGTAGGAGGAATAAGTTCTAGTGTCTGTCACACAGTACGGTGACTATAAGAAAAGAGGATTTTGAATGTTCTTACCACAAAGAAGAATTAATCTGATCATTACACATTTTGTGCATGTGTTTCACACTGTACCCCATAAATATATATAATTATTGTGTGTCAATTAAAAGTAAAATAAAAAGAAAGAATAAAATTGAATGACAAGTTAAAAAGAGCAATTAAGAGACCTGATGACATTGAAATGTTCAACAAACTTAATTCTCTCATAAAAATAATTTTATTTTAGATACTTGTAGTATCATTTAAGATACAAGTGATGATGTGATGATTTGTTTATTTTTGCTCTGTTCATAAATTTAGAATACTGAGGGAGTCTGAAAATGCAAATTTAATAAAATTCAAGTTATTTCATGTAACTTTAAAAAAAGCAAACTGACTTTTTGAAATCATGCTGTAGTCTTCCCTCTAAAAAAAGTCTATTGTAACATTATCTTAAATTCCTTTTTAATAATAGCGTATCTTTTATATATATTCTATATGAGAATAAAAATTTTATTTTTCACCTGCCCATATTTTATATTTTTTAACTTTTTATTATACTTTATAAATTTATATATTTTATAATTTTATATTGTAGAGCCTTTCATTCTCATATAATTTGCTTAGCAGTTTTGCCTAGCCCTTTTACAAACATTTATTTCAATAGCATTTGTGACTATACGGTGTTGGCTGCCACGAACCCTTCACCATGAGAAGGTGGCATAAAATATACTAAATAGGTATTTGATACAGTAGTTCTTTGCTCATAGGGAATTAATAATTTTGTGTAAATTTCAAGAATTACATAAATTTTTTCCTCATCAAATTAAATCACCAAAAAAGCTGCCCAGGTGGACCACAATTACTTGCCTCCTGCAGAAAAGCTTTCAGTAAGATTTTGACTTGTTAGAGGCTTTTTTAAATAGCCATAGAATGAATGTTTGTATATTAGCTTTTTAACTTTTAGTAAAGGCATTGTCCTAAAGACATTTTCTAAGGACAAAACTTAGAAAAAACATTTTCTCTCTTGGAGATGTGTTTAAGTACTAATAGAATGCAAGAATTATATATTTCATTATACAAATCATGAGAGCTAATATCGCTAATGCTTGCTAGGATTGTTAGCTTTCTTGTTTTACATATACGTATGCTTTTCCTTTTCATGGTTTGGTTTTCTATTTCTTCTTTTATAGCCTTATTTAATGATGCCTTTTACTCTAAGCTGACTTACATCTCATTTTGAAAGAATATAGGATTGAAAACTAAAATAAAAATGATAGAATAGTTTGAGAGTGTCTGTAAAAACACTCATTTGGCTGTAATGTAGTGTCTGCATTTGTGATGGGCTATGCCTTTGAGCGCATTATGTGATAACACTTCCAGGGTTTTGAAGTGTAATGCTCCAGTGTTATTCTTGAAGTACTGTAATAGTGACTTTGCCCACCCCTCTGCCATCCCCCAAATATCATTATGGTAGTGAAAGCATTTTTCTCTATTACTGGTTGGTTAGAAAGTCTTTGCGTGTCCATGAATACCATTTAAGGTGTTTAAAAGGCTACTGTCTATAACCATGTCTGTAGTATGTATAACACCCTTTTCCCCCATAATTGCTTTAAGGCCTTCACATAAATCTGTGAACACCAGCATTCGTTCCTTCTGCAGTGGGGAGTTGGAAAGGGAAAGATCAAGCTACAAGCTACACAGTTGTCAAGGAAAAGGTAGACCTTTTAAAATGTGGGAAGGATTGGGTTTGTCATTGAGTGAGACTTAAACCTGAATGGGAATTCAAGAGAAATGTACTCGAAATACAGCCTTGAACCTAAGAAAGAAAGGTAAATTTGCATTATATCAGCCTTCTGGTATGCGGTTGTGTCTGTCTGTGTAGGAAAAGTTAATGTTTGAAACATAGTTATCAGAGCATACAAATTAATACCAGAGAGCCAAGTTTATATTGTTTTGTTTTAGTCCTGATTACTAATTACTTAATTACTTTCTATATATAAACAATATGAAACATAAGCATTTAGTTCTGCCTTTGTTTTTGGTATGCTAATTTGATTTGTTTTAATTATGTGAAGCATAATTATAGAAAGAAAATTCTGTGTTCTCCATTGACTGTAAATGCTGTCATTAAATATGCAGATTTTATACAGTATAAGCATGTCCCATAGAGAGTAATCTCTTTAAATTTTTAATATATTGAGGTTATTGTTTTTTAAGATTTGCTGTCTAGAGCTCATTAGATCAAGTTTAGCAAGTCATGGTAATTTAAAATAATCCGTAAGTACATTAATACCAGTGTTATGCAATTATTTTGCTTAACTACCTGGACTAAACCTATCAAACTAGATATTCCCAAACTTAAAATGTTTAGCCTCTTACTAATATAGATATTTCATCTATGTATTTCTGAAACATTATTTGTATAATTCTTCTTGATTTATTAGTGAAATAAATCTTTGCAAGTTTCTAACCCCACAAATTTTGGGAGCCCAAATCTCCCAGGCTAGAAGAGGAAGTACCAATGTCACAAAAAGCTGAATGCCACTTGGTCATTCTCTTTTATTCATGCACTTCTCAAATGTGTATAAAACACCAACTATGTCCTATGTAGCTATAGGGACTGTCTTAAGGAGCATATGTTGCTATAGGAGAAATTGCAATACAGTTTGTAGGTGCTCTGAAGAAGCATATGCATGGCACAGTGTTGACACAAAATCGGGAGTAAGCCACAAGCCCAGTGTTTTTGGTCTTGTTTCTCCTCTCTGGCTTCTGTGATCACCTTTCATCCTTCCTGTTGGTTGCCTGAGTTAGGCCAGGGGTGAATGTTAGAGGAAGTCAGCTTTAATGGGCCAAGAGAGTAGGGCCAAGGAGCTCAGGGATTTGAGCCTGTTGATCATCCCATTACTGAGTGTGGGAAAGTTCTGGAATCTTGGCGACTGAGCTAGAGCCAGGGTTCTCTGAGCTCTGACTTAAAGCAGGAAAAGAATCACTTCTTTTGAAATCTCCTTCAGCAGTGTTGTTTCTTCTCTTTGATTTTATTCACTACTGCATTATAAGCTCAGGGACTACATTTTTTTTTTTAATCAAGAACTTCAAAAATCAAGTTTTGTGTTGGATATATCTATATTAGAAATGTATAGATGGCTTAGCTATAAGGCTCTTTTGAAGTAGTACTTTAGTACTGTGAGAGTATGGTGCAGAGGTGGATGAAATAAGAAAGAGATAACAAAAGACAGGGTTCTTTTTTTTTTTCCTTTTTGCTTAGAAAGACTGAAGGAAAAGGGAAGAAAGTTTATGGTTAGAAGGTAGAAATAAGCTGGAAGGTAGCTATTATTAAATCATGCAGGATAATTCACTAGGTTGATAGGGCCTGTGAATCAAGAAATATATTAAGATTAGGGATGTTCTGGTCAGAGGAATATCCCAGAGTGCCAAGTGGGGGTTGGCATTGATAAGTGACTTTTTGCTTGGTTTGAATCTGTCCATAGATTAAATTAAAGATCTTGGTGATATGCAGAATCCTTTGTATATATTTAGGCTATCAAGATTTAGTTGAAGTAAGCTCATCTTTCATATGGCTGACTCCTAGTTAATTCTCAGTATTTCATTATAATATCCCTTGTCTCTAATTTAAAAACTTATAGATAGGAGTTGAGTTTATGCTAAATCTGTATGAAAATAGAAGTCATACTGAGGGTCAAGTTACACTGATATGTTATTTGTGAAATTATAAGCTATTGTATTATCTATTACTATCTCTAATCATTCGTGCATGTTAAGGTGAAGCACCATGGTGTCTGTTGCAGGGGATGTGATATACTGTTGGTTGATAAATGATCACTCCTAATGCCTGGCTTTTCTGACTGATTTAATGATGCACAGATTTAAAAAGTTTAATTTTGTTACTCTCCTTATGAGCTCATTTTATTGCCCTTTTTCTAACTAGATGCTTTCTGATGCAGCACCTGGAAAACTGAGAATTGTTCATGGAGATGTGTTGACATTTAAGATAGAAAGGGCTTTTCCAGAAAGTCTTAAAAGATGCTGGGATGATGGTAAGTGCCTTTGTGGTTTTTAAAATTTTCTTTTATAATTATTTATATCACAAATATTTATTATATATTTATTATAAATGTTTTTATGTTAATATTAAAGATTATCTGAAGAGAATTAAATAATGTGCATTGTAATTTTTTTACTACTTTATTCCAAGATATAAATTCTTCTAATTTGTTTTAAATTTTCAAATATTTTGATTCTGTGCAAATAAACTTGTCATTTTTATTACACCATATAGGGATGGGGTAAACTATGAAGTATTAATTTTTCTAAGTGGTGAAAAAAGAAGTGTTTTAGTAAACTAAGCCACACCTAAGCCTTTGTTTTAATTTTTTTCCATTGTCTTTCACATTCAGTGACCAACCAAGGTACTCTTCATTCATGGACAGTGTTTATTCGGGATCTGTTATATGTCAGCCCTTTGGAATACATAGATAAACAGGATATGGTTTTTGCCTATAGAAAACTCAGAGAACAAAGGGAGGAGGACCTTGGATGCCTCCACATCTACTGCCCCCATGTCTTTGGCTTCTCCCTAGCCAGGTCTTTCACAGTGGGCACACTTGGGGTCTCCACCTACTAACAGGCCCTCCTTTTCTTGGCATGCAGCTTTCAGGTTTCTGCCCTGCCCAGCCACCGCTGCAGTCACAGGGACCTCATTGCCGGTTTCAGACTTTAGCTCAGTTCTCCCACATTCATATGATTGTTATCCAATTCTCTGCTCTTGTCTTCCCTGATGCCAGGCCCTCCTGTTTTTCCTTTTATGTTTGTGAACTTTCTCTTAACTCTTCTTTGCTGGTAGTTATTTTTCTGCCTATTTTTTGCATGTTGTTTCTGAAATTTTTCTTTTTGGGCATCCTCTCTTCTCTAGCACAGTTGCTCCATTACTCCACTCCTATGGTTTTGCTTACTACATATATATTGTAGACACTCACATCTTTATATCCAGCCTATACACCCTTCTTGAGCATCTGACCCTCTGACATCTTCATCTCATTGCCCCATGACATAACCTCATCGTGTCCAAGGTAAATTATCTTTTCCCTCAAACCAGCTGTTTTTCATATATTTCGTAGTCCAGAAATCCAAGACTTTCTCCGAATGACTAAACAGTGGTAGAATTTTTTCCCCAAAAATTCAGAGCTGATTGTGAGAAAACATTTTGAAGAATAAATGGAATGAAAAGTACTCAGCCATATCTTTTCATATATTTTTGTTTGATGCTATGACTGTCCAGTTTGATTTTTCTTTTAAATAAAATTGTATTTAGAATATATTGATGAAATCATTCCAAGTTGTTTTTTTCCCTGGCCAACAGATCCTCCAAATGTACATGTTATTGGAAATCTTCCTTTTAGTGTTTCAACTCCACTGATTATCAAGTGGCTTGAAAGTATTTCTCTTAGAGAAGGACCTTTTGCTTATGGCAGAACTCAGATGACTTTGACTTTTCAAAAGGAGGTGGCAGAGGTAAGTTTTAACTTTTTCTGGCTATTTTATCACATCAGTTCCAAAACAAAATATTACTGCATTTTTACTATAGACTGTTTTCTAAGTTAATATTCCATTACACACAAGTAAAACCCAGCAACAGCTCAGCCAAAAGTTAAACATATAATGATGATGACAGACATAACTATTACAAACTTCCAGGGAAAACATGAATAACGTGTGTCAGCCAAGAAGGCAGTGTGGTAAACACAGGGACAGAGTGGATTTAGACACAATTAGAAAAAGACAAAAGCTTTGTGATGTTAGCCATACTTTCACACATAGGGATTGGCATGTGGTATCTTAAAGTTGATCCTTTGTACTCAATAGGATGATAGGTAAAGAATATGATAATCAATTTGGAGCTGAGAAAGGGAAGACGTTTGGGGGTCTCATTATCTGGTATATAGACTCTCACTCCCTCACCTCAGCAATGCCTGCTGTGCCTGTGTTCCCATGGCAGGAGTGTTCTGAGTTCACTCTCTAAGAAGTAAACCTCCATGGTTGGCAAGGGTGGTTTTTGAACTGCAGAGGTTTAAGGAGAGGATCTGCAGGCTATAGGTGTTTTTGTTTTTTTTTAATTTTATGACATAAATACAAGAGTGTACAGTTGTTTCTCAGTATCCATGAGGGATTGATTCCAGGACCTCCCATGGATACCCAAATCCACCGATCCTCATGTTCCTTACATAACATGGTATAGAATTTGCATATCACCTATGCACATCCTCCTGGATACTCTAAATCATCTCTAGATTATTTATGCCTAATACAATGTAAATGCTATGTAAGTAGTAGTTATACTGTAGGGAAGAAAAAAAAGTCTGTACATGTTCAGTACAGATGCTACCATCCTTTCCCCCAGCCCAAATATTCCTGTCCATGGTTGGTTGAATCCATGGATGCAGAACCCACTGATATGGAGGGCTGGCTATATAATGTATATGTATAGCTTAATAAAAAGACCTGAATCCCCACTGCTTAAGTTGTTAATTGAATTACCAATACCTTTGATACTCTCTTGTGTTCCTCACTCTGATTACATCTTCTGTCACTCCCTACTAGAAAGGTAATCAATACTATGAATTTTGGATTTATTACTCCCTTGCATAGTTTCATCATATAGATTTGTATCCATGTAATTAATATACTTTAGTTTTGTCCATTTTTTAACTTTATACAAGTGGATTCATATAGTACATATTCTTTTCATACTGAACATCATTTGTAGGATTCACTGGTATTGCTTATCCCAGTAGTTAATTTATTTATCTGGGTATCTAAACTACCCACTATTTGACTATGTCATAATTTATATGTCCATTCTCCTGTTTGGGGACCCTGAAATAGTTTTAGTGTTTTGTTGTTACAAACAAAACTGTCATGAATGTTCTTAAATTTATGTCAGCTGGGTCGCATGGGCAAGGTTTCTCTTCTCTAGGATACGTACCTGGGAGTACAACTGCAAATCTTCACCCTTACTAGATAATGCTAAATTATTCTCTAAAATCATCATGCCTGTCTATATTCCCATCAGCAGTGTGTATGAGTTCAGTTTGTTCCATATTTTTACCAGTTCTCACTATTGTCATACTTGCACATTTTTATTAATCTGAGGATAATATTATAGTATGGCATTTTATTTTATTTTGTCTTTGCTGATTTTTAATGAAATTGAGCACCAATTTTATGTTTACTAGCCTTTTGAGTTACTTTTTTTTTTTTTTTTGGAAAGTGCTCCTCATCTTTCTATTGGGTTGCTTGTCATTTTCTTATTGGTTGATAAGAGTTCTTACATACCCTTCGTACCAATCCTTTCTTAGCTAAATGTATTAAAAATGTCTTCTCTATGGCATGTTGTTACTGTCTTTAGTGTGTCTTTTGAAGAGCAGGCATTCTTAATTTTAAATTTATGGTTAGTGTTCTTTGTGTCTTGTTGAAGCAATCTTTTTATATCTTAAGATCACAAAGATATTCTTCTATTATATTCTAGAAGCTTTATGTTTTACCTTTCACATTTATATCTATAATCCATGTGGGATTAATTTCTCTCTATGGTTAAAGTAGAAGCCAATTTTACTGTTTTTACCACCTGAATACCAATTAGCCTGGCCCCATTTATTGACAGGTCTGCCCCCACTCATCTCTGTCACCACCTCTGTTGTCATGGCAAAAGCCCTTGTAAGCACTGGTCTGATTAGAGACACCAAGAAGAAAATGACATGAAATCCAAGAGGCAGAGGGCCCCATACAGGACAGAGAAGGAATCCTCAGGAGGAACATTCAGTCCAGATCGGAGCCAATAAAGAAGATGAATTTGATAAAATACCCATCAAGTTTGCATATATGCAAACAGTAGTTAAATTTGGGAACATTTATGATTGAATTAGAGATAAATAAATAGAAAGCTAAATACAGCAGAGAGTAACACAAAAAGTATTATTGGAATGGGAAGCAAAAATATATTATTTGGAGATGTATAATTATTATGAAAACCTAAGAAAAAAATGAGAGACCTAAATAAAAATAACCTCAAAACCTTAACTGAGAGTCTCAAAAGGTCATTGAGATAAATCAAGAAAAATATGACATCCCTGGAAGGAAAAATGATCATGAACACGCTATTTTTTTTTTTTTTTTTTTACAAATAACTTTGTACACCAAATATAATTAGTATCCTCAAAGAATTTATCTTGAAATGTAGTGAAGTTCCAAGGATCATCTTAAGGAATGGACTTATAAGAAGTCATAAGAAATGCTGAAAAAGAAGAATGATGAGAGACTTGTCTGTCCAATGCAAAAATGTGTGGTTAGGCTTTTAATAGTCGAGGCAGTATGACCAACATCATGAGACAGAAAGTGGCTAGATTAGAAGGCCTGGAAACAGACAATTTAGTAGTATGCAATAGTGGGCAGATCAAAAATCGGCAGTCAAGAAAAGAGTTAGTAAATACATGGCTATTTGGTTAATTATTATGTAAAAAAAATTGAGTAATTCACATACATAAAAATTAATTCCAGTTACTGTATCTTCAAATTCACTGCTCTTTTCTGCAGTGTCTAATTCATTAATTCTATTTAATGTATTTTTCGTTTACAATATATTTTTACCTCTAGAAGTTTCTTTTAGGTCTTTTTATATCTTCCCTTTCTCTCCTCATTATGTTCGTGCTTTCCTTGGTATTTTTGTGCATATGTTTGATATTTACAGTAGCTGTTTTAAGATCCTTGCCTACTAACTCCATTACCTCTGTCATTTCTGTGCTGTTTTTCTGATTTTTTTCCTCCTTGCTATAGGTCTCATTTTTCTGCTGCTTTGCAGAAATTGTCATTTTTGACAAGATACCAGATATTGTGAGGGTTTTTTGTTTTAATGTTGAGTGCTAGATTTTGTCGTATTGGGTTGAGTATTGGGTTTTATTCTGCCATCAAGTAACTCACCATTAGATGAGTTACTTGCAGATTGAGGCTTGCTTTCTTTTTTTTTAATCTGGTAGATCTTGAGTAGCCTTTAATTTGTGACTAATTGAGCCCTGCTACTAAGTCATAACTTTCCTGAGGAATCCACCCAGAATCCACCCAGCGTTCTGCATATTTCAGGGCCTCTCTGCTTTAGCTGGCAGGAAGGCAAACTCTTCCCAGCCCTGTGTGATTGCCGGATGGTCCTGCTGCTTCCAAAGGTGTGGTCTTCAGGCTTCCAAGCCTCAGGGCATTTTACCTCAGGCAGATCAGTGCTCAGCTGAATAGGGAAGACTTGAGGAGACTCCTTTGTATATCTCTGGAGCTGTGTGTGTGTGCCTGCGTGTCTTTGTGTGTGTGTTTCCATATCTCTAGTAGTTTGCCCCACAAATTCCAGCTGCCTAGGCCTCTCAGATGTCCAGCCACTTTTTCCCCAAGTCAGAGATACCTGTGAGCTCTGTTTGCATCCCTCAATCCATGCTGTGGCCCGAGAAGGAACCTGGCCTGTAAGCTGGGAGTCTAAGACTCACCTCTCTCCCTGCCTCAGTGATCACAGTCCTGCACTGCATATTGTCCAGTTTATGCAAACTGTTGTTTCCTATATCTTATTCAGCTTTATAGCTTTTTAGAACAAAACTCTTTAATATCAGAATTTCTATAAAAGTAGACTGTGTAACTACATAAGCCTGATTCTTTGGGTACCTTTCTCTCAGATAATTTGAGTACATCATAGAATTTCGTTTCTTACTTCCATCCCTCTCTCTTTACCCTTGTTTCCCTGTAGAGCAGTCTTTTCCAGTGTTGCTCCACCCACCCTTCAGGGACATTTGGCAGCATCTAGAGGAATTTTTGGTTGTGATACCTTGGGGGGTGCTTCTGGTATCTAGGGAGAAGAAGGTTAGGGATGCTGGTAAACATCCTTCAGTGCATAGCAGAGTCCCCCACAACAAAGAATTACCCAGCATTAACCACCACAAAATGTCAGGAATGCCAAGAATCAAAAACTTTGCTTTAGATTATAAAATCTTTTTCTCAGTAGTTTTAGAATTTTCTATTACAAAAATACAGGACCCTTTTGTGTTTGTTCCGAACTCTAAATGATACCACCACTTTCCTTAATGTCCTTGTCATTTCCTGTTCATGAATCTGTTAATTATCTGGTATTGGTTTAAACTGGGCCCATGCCAATAGTTTTCTTTGTTGTTTATTCAGTCTTTGGATTTGTTAGTTCTGACAGACCACTCTGTTTCCTCTATACTCACACAGCACTTCTGACACCAGATGTCTTTCCCACAACAAGCAATTCTCCAACTCTATAAACACCAGCTGGGCGTCCTCTATAATTTGATTTAGTTCTGACACTATCCACCTGTAGTTAGGGTCAGATCCCACAAGGTAACGGCTCAGTCCCAAAAGACTGCCCCCACTTCAGATGACAGTTGCAAGTCTGGGTCTCCAGTAGTTCTGAGCAACTAGCTATATAATAAATCTGGGGTTGCCACGATCGCCTTCTCAGATTGGTGTGCCAGAATGGCTTAGGACTCAAGAAAACACTGTTAATTACGGTTAAGTAAAAGGGAATCAGTTGGTCTCTCTGGTGACCAGCCCCATCCTGAGGCTACCTAGAGATCCAATCCTACATATCTCATTAGCATAAATTCCTGTGTGGTTAAAGGGATTCATAAATTTATAAAAGATACTCTTATCAGGAAATTTCAAGGGTTTTATAAAGGAACTCTGTGTAAGGAACCAGGGACAAAGACCCAATATATTTTTTCTTACACCACGTGTGGATTTTTTTCTCTGCTGACATGATTATTATGGTATTTCTGTTCTTGAACACAATAGAGGTGCAAAATATTGTGTACTCTAATTGTTTTGGGGAATAGAGCAAAGGAGCAGAGGCTCAAGAGGTAGAGTAGTATTTTCAGTGACTCAGAATGTCAGTTGTGGTTATTATTAATAGTGTTGCTTCAACTTCACTGTATGCAGTTGTTTTTCTTTAACAAAAGTTGATTTTAATCAAACTTCAGCGTGAATATTGAGTCTATAATTTTGGGGCTACATTAGAAGTATGGATAACACTGATCCTCTGACTGATTTTCATATTTTGCAAGGGAAAGTTTCAATGGGAGAACATATAGCAACATTTTTTTTTATATATCCTGTTTGCTTTTGACATGATCATATATGTAATTTTGTATTTTAGCCACAGAAAGCCCTTTTTAACATTTACTTTGTTTGGCTTTATGAGTTACAAAACAGAAATAAATGAGCACCATCCTCTTTTTCCTTTCTCTAGGTCCACAGGCTCTAAATGTAGGAATTCAGCTCATACCCATTAAGGGACAGACATATAAAGTTACACTTCAAAAAATAGTGTGTTTATGTATTCTAACATAAAATAGAATCAAGTTGTGTAGCAGTAAGTGAGAACTTAACAAATCTCATCTCACCTCATTTTATAAATGATGAACAGAGGCTCAGAGGGGTCTAATAATGTCTTCCAAAAGGTCATGGAGAAGTTACAGGGAAAGCTGGACTTGAACACAGGTCATGTTTTCTGCTAAAGTCATGATGTTCGAGTTCTTGGTGTTGCTGGCCCTGCGGTCTTTCTTTCTGGGTTCAGCACCAGACTCTTGATCTCCTGCCATCTCCAGGGGACCCTGGCTGTTTATGGGCACATCTGTAGCAGCGGAGGAGTCACCTCTCCATTAATTACTGTGTATAGTTTTTACTGTCCCCAATGTGTGGCTGTGTTGCTTCTCAAGTATAAGCCTAATTTTTCTACTTGTACTTAAAATTATTTTAGGTGAATAAGAAAAAAAATAACACTGAGTTTTTTGACCCCTTGTTTTCTCATACTTAGTCAGAATGCTTTTAAAAGCTTAAGGGTTAGAGGTTTCCTTTTACTGAAAAATTAACTGGTTTGATTTCCTTGCCTTTTTTTGTTAAATCATCTATCTTTTGGTGGGTTTTGAATTTTTATAGCTTTGCCTATAATATATCTATCACAGAAGTAGCAGTGTACATTTGAATGGTTGATAGATGATTTAACTTTTATGCTAGCTTTTAATGAAGTCTTTTGTAGAGCTTTCTGGTCTGTGATTTGAATTTTTCCTTAATTAGTTAGGGACAGCTGTGTGTGGTGCTTTCTTCTTAATTAAAATATATGATTCACTTGTTTTCATCTCTAGAACCTGGGGATATTTGCTACAAAGATTGAATGGGCCAAGTTAACGGATTAGGACACCCTATCCCCAGATAGTACTAGATGCGTATATCGTGTTCTAAGTGAAATAGATTTAAATGTGTCTTTACATCAAATTAGAATATTTAGGATTCATGCCTCATAGATTTGCTTTTTAGTTAAAGTGATTTTTAAATTCTTCTATTTGAACTTACCTTTCAAATGTAAAGTAAAATATTAACTATGTCAGGGTTTTGTATGTAGCAGAGCAGCTCCCTTGCTGTGATCTATTGAAAATTAGCTCTCAACACAAGGATTTGTAAAATAAGAGAGAATCCTAAATAAATAGATAGATAAATGAAAATGTTTTAAAAAATTAAAAGTATTAGCTATGAAGAGGATGAATCCAGGATGAAATAATAATTTTAAAAATGGCATTATTTTTGGTTTATTTTCTAATTTTCTAATTTTGTTCATTCTAGATTTTCATTTAAAGATCTTTGAATTTGTGCCAGTTGGATGTTAAAAATTTACAGTGCATTTTGAAGTCTTAAATTTTATGCTAGTAGTAAAATTAAGCTCCTTTTTTTTGTTTATAGAGAACTAGAAATATTTTTGGCTATTTGATCCATAAGCTTATTAACTTAAAACTATACAACTTTTTTTTATAAAGACTTTTTTAGAACAGTTTTAGGTTCAAAGCAGTTTTAGGTTCAAATCAAGCAGAAGGTACAGAGAGTTCCTGTAAGTTCCCTACCCCTACGTATGCAGAGCCGCATCCATTATCAACATCCCCACCAGAGTGAACCTACATTGACATATCATTATGACCCAGAGTCCATAGTTTACACCAGGGTTCACTCTTGGTCTTGTGCATTCTGTGGATTTGAGCAAATGCATAATAACATGTGTCCACCATTATATCATATAGAATAATAGTTTCACTGTCCTAAAAATCCTCTGTAATCTGTCCATTCGTCCCTTCCTCTCCACTAACTACTAGTAACCATTGAACTTTTTAATGTTACCATAGTTTTGCCTAGTTCAGAAAAGGAGTGGTGAGAGAGGGACATCTTTGTCTTGTTTCTGATGTTAGTGGGAGAGCTTCTAGTTTCTCACCATTAAGTATGACATTAGCTGTAGGTTTTTTGTGTATATTCTTTATCAAGTTGAGGAAGTTCCCTGTATTCCTGGTTTATTAAGAGTTTTGTTATAAATCGAGTCTTAGATTTTGTCAAATAATTTTTCTTCATATATTTATATGATTATGATCATATGATTTTTGTTCTTTAGCATCTTGATATCATGGATTACATTAAGTGATTTCCAAATATTGAACTAGCCTTGCACATCTGCTTGCTCAGTGGGGTATAATTCTTTTTATACATTGTTGGATTTGATTTGCTAATATTTTGTTGAGGATTTTTATATCTGTTCCTGAGAAATTTGGTCTATAGTCGCCTTTTCTTGTAATTTCTTTGTCTGGTTTTGGTGTTAGGGTGATGTTGGCCTCATAGAATGAATTAGGAAGTATTCTTTCTGCTCCTATGTTCTGAAAGAGATTGTATGATACTGATAAAAGTTTTTCCTTAAATGCTGGGTAATTCGGAAGTGAAACCATCTGGGCCTGGTGCTTTCTGTTCGGGAAGTTATTATTGATTCATTTCTTTAATAGGTATAGGTCTATTCAGATTGCCTATTTCTGTTTCTTCTTGTGAGAGACTTGGCAGATTGTGTCTTTCAAGGAATTGGTTCATTTCATCTGGCTTACCAGATTTGTGGGCATATAGTTGTTCATAATATTCCTTTATTATCCTTTTAATGTCCATAGGATCCATATTGATGTCTCCTCTTTCATTTCTGATATTAGTAATTTTCTCTTAATTTCCTGACTAGAGACTTACTGATTTATCTTTTTTAAAAAAACAGCTTTTGGCTTCATTGATTTCCTTTATTGAGTTCATCTCTGGCTTCCATTTTAAATCTACACATTGGGATTTGCATCTCTGGGTAAGCCTGTTTTTTGCTGCAAGTTGAGTTTTATTTTTACTGTAGGCAACATTATAATATTTCAACTAATTTCCTACCTAAAAATACTTTTATTGAAGTATAATTGACACATAATAAACTGTACATATTTAAAGTATATTATTTATTTATTACTGATACATAATAGATGTTCATATTTTGGGGGTATGTATGATAATTTAGTATATTCAGATAAGTTATAAAGATCAAATCAGCATACTTGGGATATTTATCACCTTATCTTTCCTTTATGCTAGAAACATTCAAATTATTCTTCTATTTTGAAATATATAATAGATTATTATAAACTATAGTCACCCAACTGATCTATCAAACACTAGGTCTTATTTCTTCTATAAAACTGTGTATTTGTACTCATTAATCAACTTCTCTTAATCTCTCCTCTCCTCTATACCCTTCCTGGCCTCTGGTAACCACCAGTCTACTCTCTATTTTCATGAGATCCACTTTTGTAACTCCCACATATGGGTGAGAATATGTGATATTTGTCTTTCTGTGCTTAGTTTCCTTCACATAACATAATGACCTCCAGTTTCATCCATGTTGCTGGAAATGACAGGATTTCATTCTTTTTAATGGCTGATTTTCATCGTATATATACTGCATTTTCTTCATTCATCTAAATCTATACTTCTGTTATTTGTCTTTATGTTTTTGTATTTGCTTAAGGGTACATACATTTCTTGTTTTTACATTTTAGTAAGGAAGAATGTGTTTTGTTTTATATGCTGTAGCAGCTCATCACTTACTTTGAACTCAGCATCCCAATAATTTCAACTCTCCAAATGCATACAAGAGCCAGGTGGTTTAAAATTAAAAAGTGTTGGAGGTGGGGTAAGATGAGGGGGGGTGGATTCTAAGTAACAAAATAGAAGCTACGCAATCTACAACTTTGCCTGTAGAAAATTTCCTTAGCATCTCACACAGAACCTGTTTTTTAAACTTACTGAAGGCAAAGCTCTAACAAGCTAAATTATTTGGTTTTCATGTCCACAGCAGGTTAGAAGTAATAAAGTAGAAGGAACTATTAGGATAGGTTGGCACGACAGTGAAACAAGGAATAGAAAACCCAGCAGCGACGAACACAACTCAGAAAGCACTGGGCCTTGGACTGGTAAGCAGTGGGGCCACTGCCTGCCTGCCTAGCCCTAGGATAATTCCAGAAATCACTGCTACTTGTAATGTTGCCCCTGAATCATTCAGAAGAGGTTTAGTGTGTCCTCTGTGCTCTAAGAACACAGAGAAGCAGGATACATTTTAGAAGATAAGCATGCCTAATTTTTTCTATCCACCACTCAGCTTTGTCCAATTTTAACATATTGCCATGTTTTTCATTTCTTTTTTAAAGAAATAAAATATTATACATATGTTTGGAGCCTTCTTCTATCCTCTTTCTTTCTCTCTTATGAGTTATACCTTCTTAAAATTGATAACCACCATTCCCATGCATGTTTTATGCTTATACTGCAGGTACATACACATGCAGTAAACAAATGACATTTTTGAATGAATGGTATCATATTATACATATTTTCTATGACTTAATTATTTTGTGTTCTATTTTGGTGTTTAGGCTATGTTGATAACCCCTGTTATTCATTTTAATTTTTATTTCATTAATCCAGTGTCAAAATTGTCACTATTCATTTACCTGTTGATGGACCTTTATGTAATTTTTTTCACTTTTTTTGATACTACACATAATGCCATAATGAACATTTGTATACATCTCTCCTTGTGTAAGTATATAAACTGCTCCCTAGGATCTACTCCTGAAGATAGTCCTGAAGGCTCATAAGGGTTGATACAACTTCAGCTTTACTATAATGTTTCCAAATTATGCTCCAAAACACTTGACTGACTTCCCCTCTCATTAGCAGCATGTGAGAGTTCCTATAGCTCCAGATACTTGCCAATATTAAGGTCTTTTTAAAAAACTTTTATGGGTATGAAATTATATCTCATTGTGGTTCTAATTTGCATATCCCTACTATGTATAATGTGGTTGAGCATAGTTTGTTGTTATGGTTCATTTAGGATACTCTCCTGTGAATTGCCCTGTTATATTTTCTATTAGTTGTTTATCTTATGACTATTGATATATAGGAGTTTCTTCTATATTCTACACACCAATTTTTTTTCAGATATATGAGCTTCAAATACCTTCTCTCGGTCTGTAACTTGTCTTTATAGTGTTTTTATTGTACAGAAATGTTTAACTTTGATAGAGCAAAATATATCAGTCTTTTATGGCTTTGCTTCAGCATATTAAGAAATTCTTCTCTACTGTGGGGGTCATAGATATTCACTTATAAAAATTTTAGGGTTTTGCTTTTCACTTATTGTTAATTCCCTTAGAATTTATTTTTTGTTCTGGTACAAGGTGAGGGCCTGCTTTTTTCTCCTATAGTTACCTAATTATATCAGTATTGCTTATTGAATGATCCATCCTTTTCACATTAACAGTTGCTACATCACATCTGTCATGTATCAAATATCCGCATGTGTTTGGGTCTGTTTCTAAAGCCTTTGTTCCATTGGTCTCTTTGTCTTTGCCTGTAGTGATACTGACTTAATTTTGATATCCCATGGGGTGAGTGCCCCATCAACATTGTTGGTGTTCTTTAGGAGTGTCCTAGCCATTTTTGGCCTTACATAAATTTTATATGGAATTTAATTTTAAAAATATATATATAATATATGTGAAAATTAAAATTCTTTTTTTAAAATCCTGCTGGGATTTTGATTGAAATCACTTTGTATTTATAAATGACTTTGGGTAGACCTAATTAATTTTAAAATAAAAATGTTTGAGTACTTATAAAAATGAATTTATAGTTTTCTACAAAAATCATTTGTCATGAACAGCCAATTTTCTAAGAGTTTGAATATTCAAGGATTAGTTACATTTAAATAAAGAAAAGCACACCATTAAAAATGTTCATTCATATGTTGGGATAATTTAGAAAATTAAATATTTAAGCATCTTTAGTTCTTCTTAGGCTTACTAATTTCTTCATCAAATATTTATTGATTGCTTGTTTTATGTAGGACCTTCTGCTATGGAATGTAACAGTGGTTTGAAAATCTCAACAGTTCATGGTAGAGAAGTTTTTTAGCTGATTTTTGGGTACTCTACATATGATGTAATTCACACTTCTTAGGTGTACCTCAGTTGGAATTGGAGGAAAATATTCCCCATTTTTGCTACATGTCGTGTGTCAGATAGTCTGTGCTTTTAAAATTTGCCTCAAAAATCCACGTAGTATTCAGAGATAACAAAATGTTAGCTCAGAATGATCAGACTAATTATTTGCTTCAATTCGTCTTTGTCCTTCTGTAGAGACTTACGGCCAACACAGGAGGCAAACAGCGCAGTCGCCTTTCCATCATGGCCCAGTACCTCTGCGATGTTCAGCACCTCTTTACAATTCCAGGTCGAGCTTTTGTCCCCAAGCCAGAGGTGAGTTTCTGCTTATTTGTTTTATGGTATATCAGAATTAGGATTTTAGTTGTACTCTTTGTTCTATTGAGGATGTGTCATAAGAAATAATCTGTAGGATCTAACTTTGATTTATATGCAAACTGTACCATAAATTTTTCTTTTCTTCTCCTGAATAAGAACCATAGAAATCATAATATGAATAATTCTTATTCTAATTTTTCTCACTCTTAGATAGAGTGACCATATGTCTCAGTTTATGCATGTTGCCTTCATGGTAGTAGTATTGTTATCATCACCATCATCCCCTGTTAGTCTTAAAACTTTCCCTATGGAAGATAAATTACATGGTCACCCAATCCTTGTGAAAAGAAATCAAATATTTGTTGTGATTTCTGATAGAGACTTCTCACTAAAGCTACATCGAACATTATTTATTGTGTATCTTTACCTTATTTTGGCAGTAGTATTTGTGATGTGTCATCTGTGGAAAAATATATATTAAACTAGGCTTTGACTATCATATGCTGGTTATATGAATAGGGGCTAATTACAGAAACAAAGTTTCTCTGCCAAAAATAAAAGTGCAAAAACTGATGTCTCTTTTAGCAAAACCACTGCTTGGTGAGTTACTATAGAACATGTGCTATATGAATTCAGCTTTTTCTTCACTGGATGTATAGTGAACACATAATGCTTGCAAAGCCCTGGGCTAGGCATTAAGGGCAAGGCAGCAGGGATGTGAGCCTGCACAAACACAGAGTCTGTGTTCAGGAGTTCACAGTCTGGTGAGGACTCGTTGGTTGCTAAAAGTCTCAAATATGAAGTCTTGCAGAGTTTCCCTTATGTCATTTGTCCTTCATAAATAAAAATAGCATGAAAAGATGGTATTATGTGGTTTATAGATTTAAATATAGATTATAGATTTAGAATGGGGACCCCAGCCAGTAGTGTTAGATCTACTTGTCTATCTTGAAGCATGGTCTGAGCACTCTCCATGCCCCTTGCTGCCACTGTAATACTTCCTCTGCCATTTGTCCACCACAGTTAGCTGAGCTTTCAGGTGACTGTATGAATTCAGTCCATCTTCCCCTTATGTAGCAGACATAATTGTCAGATTTTTCTTTCTTTCTTTTTTTTCTGCAGCATATTATGGGGATACAAATATTTAGGTTACATATATTGCCTTTGCCCCACCTGAGTCAGAGTTTCAAGTGTGTCCATCCCCTAGATGGTGTGCACTGCACCCATTAGGGGAGAATATACCCATCCCCTGCTCCCCTCCCACCTACCCGACACCCGATGAATGTTGTTACTATTTGTGCACCTAAGCATTGATCAGTAAAAACCAATTTGAAGGTGAGTTCATGTGGTGCTTGTTTTTCCATTCTTGGGATAGATACTTCATTTAGTAGAGTGGACTCCATCTCTACCTAGGATAATACAAGAGGTGCTAGATCACCGTTGTTTTTTGTGGCTGAGTAGAACTCCATGGTGTATATACCACATTTTGTTAATCCACTCATGTATGGGTGGGCACTTGGGTTGTTTCCACATCTTTGCAATTGTGAATTGTGCTGCTATAAACATTTTAGTGCAGATGTCTTTTTTATAGAGTGTCTTTTGTTCCATTGGGTAGATGCCCAGTAATGGGATTGCTGGATCAAATGGTAGTTCTACTTTTAGCTCTTTGAGGTATCTTCATGTTACTTTCCACAGAGGTTGTGCTAGTTTGCAGCCCCATCAGCAGTGTATGAGTGTTCCTATCTTCTCTGCATCCACACCAACATTTACTGTTTGGGGACTTTTTGATAAAAGGCATTCTCACTGGAGTTAAGTGATATCTCATTGTGGTTTTGATTTGCATTTCTCTGATGATTAGAGATGTTGAGCATTTTTTCATAGGTTTGTTGGCCATTAGACTGCCATCTTTTGAAAAGTTTCTGTTCATGTCCTTTACCCACTTTTTAATGGGGTGGTTTGATTTTTTTCTTGCTAATTTTCCTGAGTTCTATATAGATTCTAGTTATCAGCCCTTTATCAGACATATAGCATATGAATATATTCTCCCATTCTGTAGGATTCTGTTTGCTCTCATGATAGTTTTGTTGGCTGTGTTGAGCTTCTTAGTTTGATCAGGTCCCATTTACTTATTTTTGTTGTTGCTGTGATTGCCTTTGAGTCTTCTTCATAAATTTTTTGCCTACACCAATGTCTCTAAGAGTTTTTCCAACGTTTTCTTCTAGAATTCTTATAGCTTCATGCCTTAGGTGTAAGTCTGTTATCCACCATGAGTTGATTTTTTGATAGGTGAAAGATGCAGATCCTGTGTCAGTCTTCTACATGTGGCTATCTAATTTTCCCAGCACCATTTATTGAATAAGGATTCTTTTCTCCAGTGTATGTTTTTGTCTGGTTTGTCAAAGATTAGATGGCTGTCTGAGGATAGTTTTATATCTGAATTCTCAGTTCTGTTCCATTGGTCTATGTCTCTGTTCTTATGCCAGTACCATGCTTATGCCAGTACCATGCTGTTTTAGTTACTATAGCCTTGCAGTATATCTTGAAATCTGGTAAATTGATGCCTCCTAATTTGTTCTTTTTGCTTAAGATTGTTTTTGCTCTACAAGGTCTTCTCTGGATCCACATGAAGCATAGAATTGTTTTTTCTAGATCTGCGAATATTGATGTTGGTATTTTAATAGGGATTGCATAGAATCTGTAGATCACTTTGGATAGTACAGACATTTTAACAATAATGATTCTGCTGACCCATGAGCGTGGTATGTTTTTCCACTTTTTACGTCTTCCGCTATTTCCTTTCTCAGTGTTTCATAGTTCTCCCTGTAGAGGGCTTTCACTTCCTTAGTTAAATATGCTGCTAGGTATTTTATTTTCTTTGTTGCTGTTATGAAGGATATTGAGTCTTTGATTTGTTTCTCAGTTTAGCTGTTGTTGGCATATGGGAATGCTGTTGTTTTGTGTACGTTGATTTTGTAACCCGAGCCACACACCAGGAGGCAAGCAGTGGCTGGCAGCTAGCAAAGCCCCACCTGCACCCATAGTCTCTCCTCATCACTGGCATCATTGCCAGAGGCCCCCCCCCCCATCAGAGCAACAGGGCTTCAAACTCTCAGAGGTGTGCAAACCCCACTGCAAACTGCACATGTGAGGGATCCAGGTTGCCAGCTCCCCATCCATGAGAATCCAACACCAGATGTTCGATGGAGCTAAGGCAGCAGTGCCCTCCCGTTGCCCACGCCCTGGCGCCTACTCCACCCCCACTGTGCATAGGAAAACTGTCTTCCATGAAACTGGTCACTGATGTCAAAAAGGTTGGGGACTGCTGGATTAAAGCCTCAAGAAAATATTTAGTATTTGGAAAAAAGCTAGCTGTGTCTTTGATTCTGTTTTTATTGAGAGATGTTTGCTTTTTGGCAAATTCACATATAACAGTTTTATTTGCATGCTTTTCATTATGTTGTAAAGATTACCAGCAGAGGATTTATTTGTAACCTAACAAATCAGTTATCAAGGAGGAGAGAGAATGTATTATAAAGGAAAACAATAAATCAAATGATTAAATTTTAGTTCTAAAAGAATTCCTTGCTGCTCTGAAGTAGTTTTACCATATTAGGGCAGAGAAGGAATATTCTGAGGAAAGCCAGAAAATATTTTATTGATAGTTACATTGAGCAAAATTTTAAAAAAAATAATTTTCTCAAATAGAAATGAGAAGAAGAGTTTTTACAGAGATGGTAAATAAAATAGTTCAAGGATATCACTCTAGGTAACCCTTCTGAATGCAAGAAGAAAGTCCTAGACACAGATAACTGCAACACAAGGTACTGATAAGCTAAGTGCTAAAAATAGAAGTACAGGCAGATTCCAGGGATGATTGAGAGAGGGCGGTTAATGCTCAGAAGAAATTCAGTAACAATTACTTAATCTTGAAGAGTTTGATGCAGATAATTTCTTTGTGATATGATGAGGGGCTTATTTATAACCATCTTCGGGGTTTTTTTGTGTGTGTGAGAATCTTCTATTCCTTCTATTTTTTGTTTTTTTGATTAACCAACTTAATGAAGATTTAACAGCAGAACTTTCAATACCGTGGAACTATTATTATATGACCTTGTTCTGACTAGTTGAACTAAATTCTTGCCAAACTTCACTCCTACTAATTTCTCTAGTCCCCAAATACTTTTCTATTTGAACCCCAAATACTTTTCTATTTGCAAAAAAGACAATCTCTTAGGTTCTTAAAATTAGACTAATTTGTCTACTTTAGTGATTCTTAAACTACTATTTGTAGTCTGTAGATTTTATGTTAGAATTTTTAAAATTCTGTGTTTTCATTTCACTGAGTTAATGATTATTTTACCAATTACAAAATGTCTTTTGCACAAGCTGACTTGTGTAGACCCCTGAGAATCCACATATTTCTGACGTTCTACACTTAATTTTTTTTTCAGCTAGTCTACACATTACTCAGGTTTGAGAAATACTGAGTGAGCTATTAGCTAGTCCCTCAAAATTCTATGCCATCCTATTTTCTTTTATAAATTATGATCATGGACCTCATAATCTAGCATCTTTCCTAAGAAATTGACACGCTTTAGTTCTCACCACTATCCTGCACTCTAACCTGGTAGAAAAATGACTTAGATGTAATATGAGAATTGTAACAGGCTCTTTTTGATTTATACTAATAGAGGCCATGGACTTTGAAGTAAGCAAGACCTGCTTGCAGTACTCCTAGTTATGAGGATTTGGTCAGGTTAATAAACTAAATTTAACACATCCAAATTGGGCCTGTAATACCACCCCTGAGGGATCTTTGTGAGGAACAGAAATAATTAGTGCAAAATGTCTGATACGAGTATCTGGCACATAGAGGAAGTCAGTGAAAGATACTTGTTATGCTATAAACATTTATGGGCTGACTAAGTTCTTTTGTAATAGTAGGGATTATAATTTTAAAGACATAGCATTTATATTTAATTTTGCCTATTTATATGTACAGTATATAGAACAAGTTACCTCCAAGTATGGTATAAATTTAAAGCATAAATAGTCCTAATATTAATAAAATCCTAAATTAATGATGATATTATCTATGACATATAAAGAAAAGGTCAGGACTTGGGGCATCTGCACTCAACCTTTGAAGACAGCATTTTAGAGGCTTCCAGCCATGCTTGCACACAGCTATTGAGGCCTTGACCTCTGTGTGAGACAGTCTTGAGGCTTAGTGGTTGGATGGATCCACAGAAAAGACAGCTGTTTTTCATGTGTTTGTGTTTTTGGAAATCTGGTATTGAGGATATATTTCTTTTGTATTTTACTCTGTATTTTAAATCATTTGGACATAAGGTCAAAAGACAATATTCTCCTGCTTAACTACAATTCTTCTGTGTTTGGTCTGCATTCTTTCTTAGAATCAGAGACTGAGATGGGATTTTTATAAAAGATGTATTAAGCATGGCTCTCGGGAGAAAGGGCATGAGAGTAGCAGGAGGGAGAGTGGAAAGTGAAGCAAGAGTATCATTCCTCCTGGAGACTAGCTTCAGCCTGGTCCATGGAAGGAGAAAGGGAGCTCTGGAGCACAAATTGCCCAACAGGGTTGGTCCTCCCTTCAGGGAAGGGGCCGGCCAATTGGACCCTTGTGTCAGTGTGTGGCTGCTGGCTCCTGCAGGGAGCACTGGGGCAGTAACCTCCCAGTAGAGGCAGCTCCAGCTCTGTGAGCCATTAGCACCCAACACTGCCAGCAGCTGGGGGATGGGTGCCTGGCCCAGTGGAAGCAGCTTGGCAAGGTACTAACAGCATCTTCTCTAGGTTCCTACTAGCAGACAAAGATATAAGATTACTTATGTGGCCTTCTCTGCCTTGGTTGCTTGGAAGTGCTAAATTAAGTTTCATATTTAATTGCTTTGGCGTGCTTCAACCAGTATTATTTAATAGTATTTTTTGTCTCTTCTTTATAACTTTAGTCTTTGACCTTTATCTGTTGTTTTGATACTTATACCTACAATTTTATTGTCAGTTGCTTCAAATTCTTTTTGAAAGTGGTAAGTCCAAAATAAAAAATAAATGTAAACCAAAAGCCAGTTTTATAATTAGAGAAATACCAGAGTCATCCTCCTTAAAAATCAGATTAAAAAGTGTTGAATAGAGACAGTAGTATTTCCTATTACAATTTTTATTTAGTGCTAGGTATGCTATCATAACTACTTAAGGATAAAATAAGCAATAAGTATTATAAATCCAAGGAAGGAAGAAACCAAATTGCATTTTTGCCAACGATACTTTCATATTATGTATAAAATGCAATGAAATGTATACAAAAGTTACTGGATATAATGATGAGGTTCTCTGCAAAATTATAGGCTATGATGTAACTCCTCAAAAGTCAAAAAATTCAGTATGTGCTAAAGAGTCATATAGCTAACAATATAGTGATGAAAGAGATATAAAAAGAAAAATCCAATTATTAAAATATTTGGATTATGTATCATAATTTAAGTTATAGTTTAAAAGCATTCTTTATGCTTCAAAAATTACATTTACATCCATTAACTAATTGAAGCAGCTCATTCGTAAGAACAACAGTGTTTTTGTTAACTTGAATCAAATTTGAGGGAAGAAAATGACAACTTGAAAGTAGCTTTTACCATCCAAATACTAATAAATGAAATTAAATGGGATGAGAGTAAAACTAAATTGTAAAATAAATGAACTTAATATGGGCAATCCTCTTGCTAGAAGCAGAAGAGGGGAGTTCTTGGGCATATTAAAAGAAATTTACTTTTATTCTTATCACTTAGCTTGGACTTAATGCTTTAAAAAGTCTTAGAGAATTTAGTTTATGATTGGTTTGATTTTGCTTTACTGTGGTAGCATTTATCAATTTCTTTTCTTTAATTCTGCCTAATCTTGGATGTAATATTGTCAGCTTTTGAAAATGTATGTAGATAATTTCCTAAAATGAAAAAATGAACAGGCTAGTCACAGTAGGCAAGGACTTAGGGTGGATGGTTTTGGCAGCATCTGAGTGGAGTGGACATCTCTTCTTTTCCTTCTGTATGCTCATATACTATGGCTTTAAAACAGAAGCAAGTTACTCTGGTGTTGCCAATCAGATAGCAAAAATAGATTATACTCTTGGTTAACACCAGGGCAAGGAACTTTTTATGCTTGGCATTTTAGTTCTTTTATAAAATCCAATTTGGAATATGTATCAACAAGTTATTTTAGGCCGGGTGCGGTGGCTCACGCTTGTAATCCTAGCGCTCTGGAAGGCTGAGGCAGGCAGATTGCTCGAGGTCAGGAGTTTGAAACCAGCCTGAGCAAGAGCGAGACCCCGTCTCTACTATAAATAGAAATTAATTGGCCAACTAATATATATAGAAAAAATTAGCCAGTCATGGTGGCGCATGCCTGTAGTCCCAGCTACTCGGGAGGCTGAGGCAGAAGGATCGCTTGAGCCCAGGAGTTTGAGGTTGCTGTGAGCTAGGCTGACGCCACGGCACTCACTCTAGCCTGGGCAACAAAGCGAGACTCTGTCTAAAAAAAAAAAAAGAATTTAAAGAAAAAAAAAATAACAAGTTATTTTAAAAAGGAAAAAAAAGCTATCAATTAATTGCCATATGACTATAATCAGAGCCTCTTTCAATTATGAACCTTTATATAAAACATGAAAACAATAATGGAAAAATAAATCTAAGACAGATGTATGTACAATCATTTTGTTAGCATTTTAAACTACCTTGTAGTTTTTAAAGTGTTTTACGCTCTAATTTCTTTGTAGAGAAAATTAAGCATAATTCTGATTTTTTTTTTTTAATCTACACCCCAAAGCTTCATTCTGTATACATTATATAGTTATTTACACATAATCCTTCAGGTTGTATGCTGAGTTGTTCTCTAGCTGTGTGGTAGAGATTCGCTCTTGCCTAGGTGAGTAGAGCCAAGCTTCTAGATTCTTTTTTGTGTAGGAAGTGCAGAAAATCATGCCAGAGATAAATAGCAGCACTGCTGAAATGAATCCTATATAGATAGCTCCTCCAGGTTCGTGTTTGTTGCTTTCTGGAACAGACAGATCCACAAAGTTTGCTATGATCTCCTTGGTGTACCACACTGTTGGGATCAAACCAGAGATTCCTGCAGACACGAAACAGACTCCTCCTGCAAAGGAAGCATGGCTCTTGGTTTCTCTGTCCCCTCCTAAGCGAGTACATTTCATTCCTACCGTGGCAGTGCAGATCCCCAAAGCAGACAGAACACATGCCAGGACCATGGTGGCCCTCGCAGTCTGCACATGGATGGGGAGGGACAGAATGGAGTGTTTCAGGGTGCAGCTGAACATCCCAGTGCTGTACCATGTGCAGTCCATCCAGAGCCCATGCACCTGCACGATGGCTGTGATGATGTTGGAGCCCACATCCACGTTCACCTTCCAGTTAGGCAGCAGAGTGGCTGTGAGCACTCCAGAGACACCGGATAAGGCCAGGATGAAAGCAAGGAGCTGGAGACCTGCCGAAGCCATGATGTTACTATTAACTCTGTCCTCCTGGAAAATCCTGATGCCTAATTATGATGGCTCTCAGTCAAAATTGTAGCTCTTTCTGTGCAGTAGAAAACCAAATAACACAGGCTAGGGAAACAAGACAAAATTAGGATTGAGGTAAAGAATGAATAAACAAAAGGCTTCCCTTTAGAGTGGGAGTCAAGAACACACCTGAGTCCCCTGCCCCCCTATCCCCCAGCAGATGAGGCTGCTGTAGGCCAAGAGGAGAAGAGCTCCCACCAGGCCTCAGAGACTGACGTCTCCTGAGTATGTGTGGTTGGTGCTTGATACTGGGCATAAAGAAAGGAGCTGTCCACTGTATTCTTTTTAAAACTCAAAATATGCTGAAATTGCCTGTAAAGTAGGTATGCACCATGTTAGATTTAGACACTTCAAATTCCATCTGTAGGATCTGATAAAGAATTTTAATAGCATTATGGGTTTTTAAGAATGATTTTGTTTTTAGTGAAAATATTCTATAGCTCCCTTAATGTTTTGAAATAAAAAATAAAATTTTAAAATAACATAAAGGAGGAAATTATTTGCCTATTAAAAAAAGAAAATATTCTGTAGGTAATAAGGAAGAAAATATTTAAACCCACTTCTTGAAAATGATTTATAAATATATATTAGAAAAGTTTTAAGTATTCAAGAAGTGATTTTAATAAATCTATATTAAGCACCCACCATGTGCCAGGCACATGACCCAGGTAAATCAATTAAGGGAGAAGGAAAGTAATAGAAAGAAGTAGAAGTCACTGGCATGATTATCCCCAATTTCTAGTTTCTATTCTTTTTCAAAATTCTTACCTCCATTAGCACCTCAGGTACTTGGTAATCAGAAGTGGAACAATTAAGCCACTGTCTTTTGCTTATGAGAATGTGAGATCCTTTCTTGTCGGAAACAGAATCATTCCCTGACCCAAGCAAACAAAGCAGTCTGACTGCAAAACTGGCTATTCTAAAGGATTCAAAAGTAGTCTCAGCAAATCTCAAAAATACATTCCAGAAATAACCACATCATTAGTTGTATGCAAAAGGATACCAAAAATAATTTTACCCTTTATTTTCTTAATTTTTTTAAGAGGAAGGAAAACAGTGCACCCACTTTGTGACTTGGCTGTGTTTTTAAGAAGCAGAAAGACTTCCCATTCCATCTTCCTGTCCCAGTTTCACCATGTAGTTCAGCCGGTAGTACGTATTACCTTTTTTGAGAAAGAGGTATTGGTTTCTGAAATAACTGCAGTACTGGCTTTTTTGTTTTCCTGAATTAATTTTGAAAGATATACTAGAGTGGCTTTATTGTATATATTTCACATATATATAACATCATATATATTTCACAAAAGGCAGCATAGGGTCTTGAATCCAAACCACTTGGGTCAGTTGTTGGCTTTATACCTCTCAGTATCCTCTTCTGGAAATTGGGGAGGATTGGAGTACCTCTTTCATAGGATTGAAGAAGTTAATACATTTTAAGTGCTTAGAATAATATCTAACCCCCAGAAAGTACTCAATAATTTATAATTGACATTAGTAGTAGTATTTTTAGTTTATATCTTTTGACAATTGATGTTTAAAATTATTTGGATCATTTTCTTTTTTCTCTTCCTTCCTTAGGCAGATTTATTTTCATAGAATTTTGGAGCTGAAAGAAACCTCAGATACAGTCTTGAGCATCATTATTTTTTCAGATTAGGATGTTCAAATAGGAAATCACCTCATGCCACATAGTCTTTAGCAGCCATTCTGCAGTGTCCAGCGATCTCTCTTGTCTCTTCCTACTTCACATCACCATGCATCTTTTCCCCTTTACCACAGCATTTCCTGCTGAAATCCACCCTACACCCCTGTGTGTTTCCACTGGGAACTGGAGAAAGTGCTTCATATGGAGGCAAAAAGCACCATTAACTTCACCCACTTCTTTCCTACCATGGAAAAAAAAGACTCCATAGGGGATTAATAGAGCAAGTGATTTAGCTTAAAATGAAGGTTATTGTCTGACTTTGGTTAAATATTTGAATTAATACTAATCCATGTCTATATTAAAAGTACAAACTTTCCATAGTTACAAAACACTAAGATGTTAGATTCTGGACTGCCTGGATTGTATTATCCTATCTTGTTCATAATTTTAAAATGTAAATCCTACAATTTTAGAAGAAAATTTCCCTAGGATTTTAAGTTCTTAAGAGTTATTTAGACTTATCTGTAAACCTCAGCGTGCTCAGAATTTGCCCGCTTTCATACAGTTCATTTCGTTTCTGTTTTCCAAACTTTATTTCATGTCCAAGACCAAAATAGAACAAAAGTTAAAGTTTCTAGAAAAAAATTAAGCACATGTTTATGGTTTTATAATAGCTGTTTTCAAGTTTGGGTTTTAGCATTTCAGACTCCAGTTTGCTAAATTACTGCCTCCGGACCATTTTCAGCTTAGGGATTCTTCAAGAGTGGGACATTCCCTAAGAACATCTGCTTATGAGCGTGCATGTTCGCTCCCTCACTCGTTTTTTCTCTCTCTCTCTCTCTCTCTCTGCCTCCCCTCCCATCCTCCCTCCCTCCCTTCCTCCCTTCCTTCACCTTTATATGTTGATCAATGTATGCTCAGTTTACCAATTGTAATCCTTTTCTTTGCATTAACCAGTACATTTTAAAACGTTCAGTGTAAGTCAGACCTGCAGACAGCTTGTTCATCATAATTAACAAGTACTGGCAGTGAGAAATTATAGCAAAAATCAGTGTAAACAATATGACATTGCACTTAGTTAACATAGTGCTTGCATAGTGTTGTATATTGGACTTCAAATGCTTTCATCTGCATAGAGAACTTACGTAGGAAGAATTCTCCAAAATGAAAGTCACTATTCTGTTCCTTTTATACAAATATACTGCATTTTAGCTATATTGCTATGGGATTTTTTTTTTCCTCTCCAGCCATAAGCATAATATAGTTTGTGGCCTATTCTTCCAAATTTCTGTCTGGTGGAGAATAAAAGCATACTTTGTTTCAATAGCGGTGGTGGTGGTGGTGGTAGAGAAATACTGTGAAAGCAAGCAAAAGCAGAGAGGTTGCATGTTAAAACTTAGTTATGTAGAGAGAACTCTCATGGTCCCAAAACCCATTTCACACAGAGCAAAATGTAAGAATGTTCAATTTAGGAACTGTTTGCAAACAGAAAGTCAGTAGTAGATTTTACTAAAATGAAAAGTCGGTTTTCCAGACAAGACTTATTTATATCAAAAATAATATTTAAAAACAAATTTACAACTTATAATTCAATGTAAATAATACTTGAAGATCTGTACTTAGGTTTCTCTAAGCATTATAGAAACTTCTCATTTTACGTACCTTTTGTCAGTAGTCTTCACTGCATTAACTCCCTTCTGTCAGCTGTTTTCAAATTAACCTCAATGCAATGTGAGGAAGAAAAATCACATATATGAGGCTCATTTCAGAGATCTGAATATTTTTATAAAGCTCCAACAAGTTAACTTGAAAAAGCAAATAAAAGGCAACATAGAAATCTCAGAGGTAAAAACTGCTGATGGTGCTAGAAGATAAATACCAGGTTCTCCATCTCATTTTTTGAGATGTGGGAGAATTAAGAAAGGAGAGGCGGGGAAGGGAGGGAATTGTTGTTACAACAGGATTTGTCGAAACCTGAAAGCTAAAAATGCTTTTGTGTCACTGTGTACAGAGGAGGAATTATTTGGGTGCTCACAAAAAAGGCTTTCTTTTCTTTTAATATTATGTTTTAGTCACAGTTATAATTTATTTTTGAATTTTTATCTATGTTGGAAGATACAGTTTATTATTTTATGTCCCCAGCTAAATGAAAGAATATGGTCTGAAATATTTTTAACTGGATTGTGCTTTGCAAGTGATAGTTGAGCCTGTCTTTTTATTCTGGTGCTTGTTGACTCCTCTGAAACTAATATCCTCAAGATTGTTAACCTTCAAAATAACCATTCAGAAGAATATATTCTTTTTAATAAATGATAAAAGAAAACCCAGCAACAACTTTTGCTTTGATTCTGATCAGTAAACTTGCAAGTATTTTTTTGCAGTGCCTTGAATTTTCTTCTGTTATTCCTTCCACTGAGAAAGACTTCTGGAGTATAACTCTATAAATTAGAGACTTTAGACAATGTTGTGAAGAAATTACACCAAAATAATGTGAGGAGAAGTATAAGATAAAGCTGTGATCATTTATTGAGGTTGTAGAGCATAAATAATGATATAGACATATTTTACCACCATCCTTTTGGTTTCTCACTTTTTTCTTCCTCAGTAATTTTAATTCTACAAACTATAAATTCATAGCCATTATACAGAAAAGATAATTTTATGACTAGATTTTTTTTTTTTTTTTTTTGAGACAGAGTCTCACTTTATTGTCCAGGCTAGAGTGAGTGCCGTGGCGTCAGCCTAGCTCACAGCAACCTCAAACTCCTGGGCTTGAGTGATCCTTCTGCCTCAGCCTCCTGAGTAGCTGGGACTACAGGCATGCGCCACCATGCCCGGCTAATTTTTTATATATATCAGTTGGCCAATTAATTTCTTTCTATTTATAGTAGAGACGGGGTCTCGCTCTTGCTCAGGCTGGTTTTGAACTCCTGACCTTGAGCAATCCGCCCGCCTCGGCCTCCCAAGAGCTAGGATTACAGGCGTGAGCCACAGTGCCCGGCCTTATGACTAGATTTTTAAATTTTATAACTTTTAATAACCAAGTTAGACATTAGTCATTTCTTTAAAAGTAATGAATAAAACACATTTCAATTATCTCTATTTTTTGGAGAGTTGCTTTTGTTTTCATCTTTTCTGAGTTTGGCATTTAGCAAGTTTTCCTCTCTTATAAATCTAACAACTGTGGATTATCTTTTCAGCCATAGTATTATAATTTTGATATTATGATACTGTTATTTCGTATAAACAATTCTATGTATAAATACTCGGTGAAGCAGAGTTGACTGGCAGGTGTTAATAGCAGCAGCATTGTTAGTACTGCTGCAGTAGAAGAAACCTTGTCGGATC